TGATAATGATTTTGAGAGAGGCAGAGTCTAGCAAGCATCTCAGAGCAGCATTGCGCCGACACCACCACGACGTTTGAATCCCGGTGAGAGCACTGCAAACCTCTTAAGTCACGAGGTAAATTTTCAATTTACACAATACATAATCAGTTCCTACAACCATAATAAAACTCTCGACAGGTTAGCAATAGTTTCTCACGATCACCAAACCCGAGACACAAACGATAATACAAAGTGTATAAATACCATAACAAGCACAGTTTCTTACCTTTGAAATTGACGAGACACAATTTTGTCCATAGAAGCGTTGCGCAAATAAAGATACAATTCCGGGATACAATATCCTCACAAAATTGACTGATTTCCACCGAGATGAGAACTGCGTAAGCGTCATCAAAACTCGGGTAATTTCGGGAAAAGTCGGATTTTCCATCAGTTTTGAAGGAAAAATGTTAAAAATCAAGGAAAAACACAGTTAAACTTTGAAGAATCGAAAAAATAACTTGATGTGCACCATAGCACCATCAATTTCTGTCTCTGTACCAACTCTGAACTGAATTGGATCACACATGTGTGAGAAAAAGCTGGTAACATGAAAATGTGCACACACATTGCACAGACACGACCCAAATTAATACCCCCCGCCCGGATCGCAGATCCGGCGGGGGCTAACAAATCATGTGAAATTTTATGTACAGAGAAACACATATTTTATGCTTTGGTTGACAGAACTTCTCAAAGTAAAAAACAGAGGACCTGCAAAACTTTATACAATTGTCGGACACGCAATAAATAGTACCGGTATGTTTTTGTAATACATGCAGTTCCAGTGGCTTTGCTTTCTGAGAAAAAAAAATCTGGCTATGCACCTGAAAAAAAACAAAAAACATTTAGCCCAAAGTAAGCAGAGGTTGTAGCAAATGTGCTCCCATTGGCTGTTAGATTTAATTAAAAAAGATATTTGAGTCTTTTTAGTACGAACAAATCTTACTTAATAAATTTATACCAGCCAGAAAGAAACTGCAGTTCACACTGTACTATTTTAAACATGTTCTACCGAAGTCTAGGATGAACTAATTCAACAGTCTGTTTCCACTTATTTACGGGATTAAGAATGTGCAAAAAGCCACTTGAGCTGAACCAAATGGATGCCAAGCTATCAAAAGAAATAAAAAAGAACTATTGAGAAAAATACAAAAAAATACATTTAATATAAAAGCAGATAGAAGTGCATAAATAACTAATCAGCAGAGGTAGTGATCATGTAATCAAATTTCCTTTGAACTGGATTGCATTGTCTCAGATTGGCTGCTAATTTGCATATCAATTTGCATACTAATTAACATATTGTAGTTGTATTAAAATATATAAAATAATATCCAAAGTTTTGAAAAAAAAAAATTATGACTATTAAGTCAACATCATTAAAATTGAGGATTATGTGAATTTGACCCCCTCCCTAATATTGTTTCACATATCCCTTAAAAACATGGCGGCCGTTAAATCCATCTCAATCGAGGTCCGTAACTTATTTTCCTGCTCATAATGGGGATAAATTATGGTAGCTAAACATTGAAATTGCCACCTTGACTTCAGTACCGAAATAAATAGCTGATTGGGAAAATTTGTTGACAGAGGTTCGATTTACCGATAAACTTCAACACCGCATGGAGCATAGAGGTCCCGGTCACGAGTGCAGTAACGCACTCGGTTATCATATTTACTTCAATTGTAATTTAAAAGCGATGATAGATTCATTGATATTTAATTACAGTACTTTTCAATTTCATCATTGCTTTCGGTTGGCTGAACTTGACTTGTGTTTTCTCGATAATTCTAGTCTAATATGTCATCACAAAACCAAGTTTCAATTTGCTAGCAGTTGCCAATGAACACCGGCAACAGCAA